TACATTAAAAGTTCACATACACACATAGATATGTGTTTATAAACATATTTACATGGTTTTTTGCGGGCCGACATTCCATTCTGACGGAAAAGTAAACACATTGCGAGCAAAGTTATATACATATACATATGCATATGTATGTATATCTATCAAAATTATAATCTATAGTGTTAAATGCTGCTTACACCACTACATTAAAGTTCGACTGGCATCCTACCCACTTTGTCTTCAAAAGGAGCCTACATCACTTGGAGTGCTGTAAGCTTTGTTTTTCTAAGTTCAATGGCCTTTACATGAACTATGTGTACCAATTGGTGTATGTATATATGTATGTGTGTAATGGGCATTGTTCACTTTCTTTTAAAAATGCTAAAATATATTTTATAAAATTTAGATGCGTATCCCCAAAATTGCTTCAACATTGAACGCAAAGCTACACACTTGTCTATATAACTTGATCGAAATGTGACACTACATTTGTAGAGCCAATGCTAAATTACAGTGAACCAATACTAAATTACTAATAGCAAATGCCACAAGTGCAAGAATCTACTATGTTTGCACTTTTCCGATATCATAAAGAAAAAATCGGTTATTGTAGTAGAGATTTACATTTTTGCAGTTTTGGAACAGAACATTAATTTAATTTTTCACGGTTTGTGAAAGATCAAGATTCTTTCAATATATTGGGGTTTTGACAGGACTAATATTTTGTTTCACCTTCAAAACGCTAAAGTTTGTTTGTTAGTTTTACAGGCCTGATGCTGTGCATTGTCCTGCTTTGTATTTACTCCTTAATTTATATAAATTTTCGATATCAAGTCAGAGCTAAGCAGCAACTGGAATGGTATGGCATATTTAGTGACACATTATGAAGGAATAAATTTGATATTAATAAGCAATGCGATAACCGCTGCTCTCAAACCAACTTAAAATCGCAGCAGAAAAATATCGTGAGCCGATATTTATATTTTTATACCCTCCACCTTGGAAAGGAGGGTATATTAACTTTGTCATTCCGTTTGTAACATCCTTAAATATTCGTCTTAGACCCCATAAAGTATATATATTCATAATCAGCATAAAATTCTAAGTCGATTTAACGATGTCCGTCTGTCTGTCTGTCCGTCTGTCTGTATGTCTGTCTGTTGAAATCACGATACAGCCCACATTATTTGACGTAGAGGGCCAAAATTTAGCAGAGCTATTTGCATTGTGTCTAGGATGGTTGGTATTGAAAATGAGATATATCGGTCCACGTTCTGGTATAGTCCCCATATAACGGTACCTTCCGATATTCGGTATTTTGATGATTTATGCCACATTTTTTTACGGATTTGTCTGAAAATTGGTATTTGTAGGTCATAACGGGTCCCTGAGCGTGTGGCAAAACATTGCATGTGTAGGTCCACGTTTTGGTAAAGCCCCCTTATAACGGTACCTCCCGGTATTCGGTAATTGGATGATTTTTGCCACATTTTTTCACTGATTTGTCTAAAAATTGGTATTTGTGGGTCATAATGGGTTCTAGTTCGTGTGGCAAAACATTGTAGTTATAGGTCCACCTTTTGGTGTAGCCCCCATATAACGGTACCTCCCGATATTCGGAATTTTTATGGTTTTTGCCACATTTCTTCTAATGTTTCTTTTACCCTAAGGTGGAGGGTATTAAAAGTTTGGCCCGGCCGAACTTAATGTTTTTTTACTTGTTTACATTTAGAAAATATACAATTTTAAAATTACCGCCGGCCAGAAAATCGTTTCGCTCCCTTGTCTTATGCTTCCATCTTTTTTAACCCTATATTTTAACTTCTGTCTTTTTCTTGACCATTGTCTTTATGTTGTTTTTTTTTCTCATTGGTAAAATTTTTTTATTTTTATCTTCCTAATTCATAACTTTCATCTTCCATGCTGAACAAACAAATGTCGCGTTGTGTTGCCTCACGTTTTATTCGCAGCTGTCTGTGTGTTGCTTGTACTGGAGTAATAGTTGTCAACAGGCTTTTTTATTACTCAATAATTTCTGTTAAGTACATTTTCTTTGTAAGAATTTGTAAACTCTCGGCATTGCCAATTTACTCTCGTTTTCTGGAACCGAAGAACACACCCAATGTGTAGTTAACGGCGTCAAAATGACTACCTAAAGCCGGCCTCGAGCTCGTTTCTGATTGGTTGAAACAAATTTGCCGCAACCTATTAATGTCATGGCGAATCTATGTTACCAGGAACTTACTCCCCCGGTTCATTTAATGAATGTGGCCAGCGGTTCGATTTCCTCATGTCTCATTCGTAAACAACAGAGGTCCCTCGGGTTATGCATTCCACTCATTCGTAAACAACAGAGGTCCCTCGGGGATTTTGCTTTCTCGTTCTTTTTTATCGGGCATTTCTTTTTGATTTCTTATTTGTTCCGTTGGGGACGTCTTTCATTTTGGTTTCCCACGCGCTCATTCGATTTGCTCTTCACAACCGAACAAAGCGCGCGCACAAGCAGATTGGTTTGGTTGGAATTGAATTGGAAGGAAGAATTGGACAAATTGAATTGGACAACAAATTGGACATTGGTTGGATTGGAAAAGACACAGTGAGTATTTTGAGATTTTATTTTAGAAAGGACCAGTTGCAATGGCTGTTTTTGCATTGGCAACATTGCCGTGGCATCTGTCCTTCAAGCTGAGGGTATATCATTTGATACGGTCAAAACGTGCCTAGTCGAAATAATGGTTTTAAACCATAGGTCTCTTTGGACCAAATCCGTTTCAGAGCATTTGGAGTCGATCTACCGATGTCCGTCCGTCCGTCCGTCTGTCTGGCTGGTGCGCACTATAACTTTCGAAGGGAGTATCCGATTTGATTCAAACTTGGTACATCGTAATATTTTTGTCAAACTTAGATCGAGTTCGGATATGAGCAATATCGGTCCACTCCTTCTGGTACCTCCCACACAAAATGTCCAAATTTTCAAAGAAAATGTTTTGCTGCACAGAAAGAGAAGGGATGATCTGATTTTGCTCCAACTTTGCGAATTCTACTATTTGCATCAATTTTAGGTCAGGTAAGAAAATGGACAAGATCGGTCCACTCCATCAAGTACCTCCCCCACAAAGGGTAAAAATTTGGAATAATTATAAGTCTTATAAAATGTGATGTAAGGATCCGAACGTCTTCAAATTTCACACATTTCAATATTTTTATAAACCCAAGATCTGATGTTAACATGGGATGTATCGGTCCACTCCTTCTGGTACCTCCCCCACAAAGTGTCGAAATTTTGAATACCCATGAAGCACATAAAACGCCAAATTAACATGCGATTCCATTTAGACTTGGCACATCTCAATATTTCTATCAACACAAGATCTGTTATAAAGGTGGTATAGATTAAACCATTTCTTCTCCCCCATACATAGGTTTTAAGATTTTGAAAAACAAAACACTCAAAGCGAAATAAATATCCAACTCTCTTCAAATTTCACACACACACATATTTTTGCTAACACAAGATCTGTTGTGAAGTTGATACATATCTGCCAACCCCTTCTGGGGTCACAATTTTCAATAATTATATATGTTATAACTTTCGAAACAATTTAGCTATGTCAAATATTTCTCTCAATAAGAAGCCTGATATGAATATGACATTTATCGGAATTTATGATTTCGCATAAAATTTGACATAAATAAATTTTCTTGCCCCATATTTCGCTCAATATCAGATGAAGTATAAAAATTGAATATTTCGGTAGACTCTATATGGTACATCACGCAGTTTTTAACATTTTCTAAAAATTATTACATATCTCATATAAAGTAAGGAGTGAGCGTATATAATCCATACCAGGAACGTCGGAATATTTATATCATATTTTTGGGTCTGATACGAAATGGACAATATTGGTCCATTCCTTCGGAATCGTCTCCACAGAGGGTCAAACGTTTGAATAATTGTAACACTAGTCAAATACATTTCGATTATTTAATCGAACATAGGCTGAGGGTATATATCTGTTGGCAATACCGACTGATACTTTTTAACTTGTTTATTCTCAATTTTATAATTACCATGCCATTCAGTTTTTTAATAACAATTTCTTAACATTGAAATTCTACAATTATCATACCATACGAATTGGCTCATTCTACTCCACTACCATATTACAAGAGCCCTCTCGCAGTTCATTGAGGATTTCGCTAGGTTTTTTTTTGTTTCCTTTGTGCCCGCCATTGTTAAATGACAATCACAATTTCAATTTCCGTTGATTTTTTACAACATGTGGAATGCGGTAACATTCCACAAGTACTCCAAATTAGTTTATTAACATTGTCTTCTCTCTTTATGGAGTATCCAAATTTAATAGTTAAAAATTGTATGAATGAATCCCTCGAAAGTGATTTCGTTGAGATTAGAAAGCGTTGTGGTAGAAGACCTACTTTTCTGGAACTAGTCAATGTTAAGGCAAGATCCGATTATATTATTACACTAACCGGATCTCTTGATCGCACATTATTTTGGGCCGAAAAGTGTTTTCAATTACAACCTTCTGATAGCAATCGAAATTAATAGACATTTATTTCATCATGTCAAGCATTTGTCGATTTAATGATGTCTACTATACAACGCGGAATTTCTGCAGCTCCCAATGTCTGCATTAATGCTGGATATAGCTTTTTTCACAATATCTTCTTCTGTATTGTTTGTGTTGAATTGTATTGTAGTACTGTAGTTGTTGTTTGTAGTTTGTTGTTTTTGTAGTACTGTAGTTGAATTAGTTGTTTGTTTGTTTTATATATTATTAACTTTTTATTTTTAGTTTTAGATGGGGGTTATATGGAAAGTGATGCGATTACATAGCCTCTCCTTTCCAAGTGTCAACCTCGCCCACTCATGGTGGCCCCTGTTATCGCAAAAGAGGCACTGGCGAAAACAATTCTATCGATAACAGGTGAAATGTCAATTCATGCTTGAGGCGAAAATAAATATTTTCGCCTTGACAGAAGAATTTTGTGGCGAATATCTAATCGGGAAATTCCATTGTCTTCGGTGGTTTGTGTGGTTTGTTTTCAATACAAAGGTTTTTGTTTTTTGCGACATATACGTTGTAAATGCTTCATTATTGGGTGGAATCTGCGGTCCGAACATTTTTCTGAAATCCTGCCAGTGGAAGGAGAAAGTTTGACACAAGGAAACAATGTCGGCCAACAATGCATCCGTCAGTGGGCAGCTGCAAAACAAAGCGTCAGAACCCATAAACGAAGAATCAAAAGAATCTAGGAACGGAGAAAATTCCCCTGGGACCGATGAAGAATATGCCAGTCCTCATAGCAACACTGTGGCCTCCCGTTTGTCCTACAAGGAAGCCATGAACACACCTCTGTCAACAACAGCAGGCGACACTAATACGAATGGGTTTATGGAAATGCCCGCATCATCGACTTGTATTGAGGGTGTCTCCCCGATGGCCATTTACAACGAGGAACGTATGAGACGAAAGTTGCAGTTTTTCTTCATGAACCCCATAGAAAAGTGGCAAGCACGTAGAAAGTTCCCATATAAGTTCGTAGTACAGGTATGATATTGCTTTAAATACGACGGGGGTGCACATAAAATCTCATCTGTGCATGGGAACATTTATCCAACACATGAGCACTTCATTGTTGTCATCGTATTGTTCTGATGTTCAAGACAAGCAAGCGAATAATAGGTATACATTTTTGGGGTGGGTGGCATCCAACAAGATGATAATTCATGCTTATCGCTTGGCTCGTCAGCGACGAAACAAGCTTTTCAAAATATTTGCGATGTGCTTACTGGTTTTCCTTTTACACAATAAACACCAACAATCAAAGTCCGGCATTGATAAGATTTCGCTTCTTTAGCGGCTCCTGTTTCCAAGACGTCGTCTTCTACACAATGTTTATTGGTACGCATCTTTCGAATTTCTTAAAATAGTAGTGTAGTACCTACTTTGTTTTCAATAACATTTGCAATAGTTTCAACTATATTCGATAGTACAGGTAATAACCTGTATCATTGTTTTAGTTTATTAGTCACTCGTGACTAATTCTACTTAGTACCGAGCTCGTTATCGCCAAGAAAATCAAGATAAATTGCTGAGCAAATATTTGAATTGACAACGATGATTATGAACTTTTTAATATCTGTGTTTTTGTAAATGTGAAGGTAAAGATTTCGGTTACATGGAGTCGTTTTTAACAATGTTGATCTCACTTAGTTTCATTTAAACTATAAAATATGCCCTTTATTATGTTTGTAAAACTTGTCTTTTTGCAGATCGTAAAAATTATTTTGGTAACTATGCAACTATGCCTGTTTGCACATTCACGGTACAACCACATCAATTACACATGGGACAATCGAATTGCTTTCTCGCATCTCTTTTTGAGAGGCTGGGATTCTTCGCGGGAAGTCGAGTCGTATCCCCCATCAGTTGGCCCATTTGCCCTCTATGAGAAAAGCGAGTTTTTCGATACAATCGACTATGCCATCAATGGCTATGCCAATATGAATCGATCTATTGGACCGTATGATTATCCGACAAAGGATAACAGCATGGCTCCAATGAAATTGTGCCTTTACAATTATCGCGAAGGAACTATATTTGGTTTCAATGAATCCTATATATTTAATCCTGAAATTGAGCTGATATGTGAATCCATACCTCCAAATGTCACGGCTGTTGGTGTGGAAAAGTATCTGGAACAGAGGGGCGTTGATGTCAGCTTTTCCTCGCTAGTTAAGGCGACTTTGGTATTTGCGATAAAAACGGTTAATTTTAAGGCCTACGGTGGGCCTCTATCGGCTCCGGATTGTTTTAAATTTGACATTACCATGTTCTTTGATAATCGCGATCATGATGGCCAAATGCTCTTGTCACTGGATGCTGATGCAACGCGTCTCCACTGCAAAGGAGACGTGGACTTCATTTCGGATGCCGAATATGACGCCATACTTAGAAGTATACTGAATATATTTGTGCTGCTGGTTTGCGTGTTGTCATTTGCTCTTTGCGCCAGAGCACTTTACCGGGCATACCTCTTGCGTTGCCAAACGGTTAATTTTTTCCGTGCTCATTTTAATAAGGAACTTAGCTTTGATGGACGCCTTGAATTCGTTAACTTTTGGTGAGAACGATTTAACAGTTTAGAAAAACTTTCCATTTTTACATGACCCCCTTTTTTATATTTTTAGGTACATCATGATTATCTTCAATGACGTTTTGCTCATTTTGGGCTCTGCCTTGAAAGAACAAATCGAAAGAAAGTTTTTGGTGGCAGATCAGTGGGACACCTGTTCGCTGTTTTTGGGTATTGGTAATTTACTAGTGTGGTTTGGAGTTTTGCGCTATTTAGGATTTTTCAAAACCTACAACGTTGTTATACTCACATTAAGAAAAGCTGCTCCAAAAATATTCCGATTCCTCGTTGCTGCCTTACTTATATACGCGGGCTTTGCGTTTTGCGGTTGGTTGATACTCGGACCTTATCACATGAAATTCAGGTCTCTGGCCACGACATCTGAATGCCTTTTTTCATTAATAAACGGTGATGACATGTTCGCCACATTTGCCACACTTTCGTCCAAAGCCAATTGGCTGTGGTGGTTCTGCCAGATATATCTGTACTCGTTCATATCGCTCTACATCTATGTGGTGTTATCTCTATTCATATCTGTAATTATGGATGCATACGACACTATAAAGCGTTATTACCGCGACGGCTTTCCATTGTCCGACCTGAAGGAGTTCGTGGGAACACGTACCGAGGAGGACCTAACCTCAGGGGTTTTTATGAACAACATGGATGACTTTGACCAAAGCAGTTTTATCGATGTCATGCGAAAAGTTTTCTGCTTTGGTTGTTGTAGAAATGCCAACGCCTCGTCTGCCTCCGGTCCAACGGGCTACACAAGCCTAACAAGTATTATCAAATGAAAAGCCCATCGCCACATTATTGAACTGGATTCCCCCACTCACATTTATATATCGTTATGTTATTTAGTTCAATGTTACAGTAGATGTGTAAGATATATGTGTATATAGTAAGCTATTGTATTGTAAACGTTTAAGAAGCCGTTTTCCATCCATCGGGAAAGTCTGAAACGGTTGGGTGCATTTGCTTTAAACAAACCACCTTGTGTATGTTAGCAGACAGAATGAAGTGGATATGGTTGTATGTACGAATATTATACATAATATAAATATGGTATTAATTTATAACTTTAAAATTTGTATAATTCTTCAAATTGGCGTATCAATAACAACACAGAGCTCTTGTTTGATGCATTTATAAATCGTTTCCTAAATTATTTGCACAATGTTATATTGCATTCTTTGATTGGTCGGTAGCTGTCTCTTGTCTGATGACTTACGAAATATGCATAGTAAGTGTTTGAATTGAATATTTCGCATGCATTTTGTGTAACAACAAAAACATGTTGGGAATCTGTGCCTCTTTCCCTACTGCCAGTAAATACCATCTGTATTACCATTGGAATAAAATAGTGGCAAATTTATACCTTCTGCATTACCAGTAAGACACTAAATAGTATGTTATTCCTATAAAATGTGTAAGACAAAATGAATAGATCTGGTAGTGGGCTACGATCGCATATTCTATTCGTCTCTATAGTAAAGAGTAAAGGGCTACAGAGACGAAAGTTGTTCTAAGTGAGAAAAACGAAAGCTGTGCTTTGCTGTGATCAATTCTGTAACCAATGCTGGCTGGTGATACCGTGTCTAATCCCCAGAGCAGAAGAGAATTTAGAGAATTTTTACGATTACAACACTCATTTCGTTTTGCTGAATTACTTTTATTATTTTTTCAATTCTACGAAGAACGTTGGCTTGGTGATTTGAAAAGTAAATATGTCATAGAACGCGTGACGTTAGTGCAGGTATTATCATTGTTTCGAATCAATAAAAGTTTTCGACATTTCTTTCATATAAGTGAAACGAAGGGTTGAGGTATGCTTGTTTATAATTATTTATTATTTATTTAAAGTTGTAAATATTCATACTTTTAATATGGCAATTCATCATTTGAGAATAATTACAAAAATAACTAGAATCGATGCTATTTGATGTTTCCTTACAAAACATTTACATAAACAACAAAAACAAAGAATTAACCAGAATGCAAAAGCAAATAATAAAATAAAAAGAAGTATATTTTACTACTACTAGTATTGTTCTACTTTTTGCGTAATTCTGCTTCCGTTACAAGTTTTCGGGCAATGTAATTAATTGGTTCTTTTTCGTGCTCTTTGTCAGGATTACGGTAGTGAACATGATTTTCGACAGATATCCAGTAATAACATAAATACGTAGATTAAACTCAAGTTTCTTAATAATTCTCGACATTTCTGCATTCACATTTTATTTTTGTCTCTAAAGCTACATAAGTAAATGTAGAACAATCATCTTAAGAACTAGAAAACAATAATAGTATATGTTTATATATAAATAATTACGTACGACGATATGTAAATTGTAACACGTCTGCATTGTATAACCTAGGTGACCACAAGCACGGCATGGCACACATGCACCTAAACAGTAGGCGTGCATGCGGTCTCACAATATAAAACACAACAACACATAAGCAATGCACGTTTCGAGGTTGCTTATAACTATCTTACAAGTCGAATAACCAGAAAATGGTGTCGGGTCATAGCACCTCCTGACTGATGAAGATCAAAAGTATTTACTTGAATTACTTAATATTTCAATTACTAAGCTATCCAAATATGGTTTCAAAATTTAATTTCTGCAGCGTTTGTTCATGCTATTCGTACTTGAACCACAAACGCGTTAAGGTTGCTAGAGATCATGCTCTGCTTCCATTTTGACTTGCATTAGAAACACTCTTTAAATGTAAAAGTCTGGGACTGCAAAGGATCTTCTTTGACTAATACGGAAAGAGTGATTCATAGTTGATGGTGAAAATCAATATCTTATTTGTAGGGGATTTTTTTTATTTGCTACACTCATGGAAATGTTACATTACGCTAAAGTGAACTGAATGTGTTTCGTGTTGAAAAAGCAATACTTCATTATTTGATACATGTATAAATGTATATATATATATATACAAAGCACTTAAATTGTGCCATCTAACTCAATAACTAGATGTAGGTAGTAGTTTCATTTAGAGCTACAGAACTTATCTAAATTTTTATCTAATTAAGCATAAGATGTTGTCTGCTGTTCGATTAATAATTGGGCTTTCTTTCCGGATGTGTCTTCGAACAAGCGATCGAACAAAGTAAAATAACTAATTAAAAATAGGTGAAATTAGAATTATATATATTTAGTACTGCTACTGTGAATTTTGGGATTGGGGAATTGATGATGCGGGTGGAGAGACTTTGGGAGCCGGAGATAGAAGAAGGGTGCTAACATGGGGTTAATATTACAATAATTAATCTTGTTAAGAAAAACTAAAAATACATAGTTAGTCTAGAGACTGTGACTAGACACAATTCTGCGGACAGGGAAGATCTCAAAAAAAGCATATCATGTGTTACACTATACTTTCGCGGTCTCGTGATGAGCTGCTTAGGTCGTTGAATCCAGGAACTCCCCTTACAGAGCTGGGCAGAATGCCTACACGGCGCATTGAGGAGTTGGTGCCTTTTTTCCCGTTGCCGTGGAATATACTCACCAGGCGGTCCAGGAAAGAGGACGAATTTCCATTGCCGGGTGCATTGCGGTGGGATGATTTTTTGTTGCTTGCTGCCTTAGACGATGAGCTACTTGCCTCGGCTTGCCGACCGTCAATGTCGGCTGCATAGCTGACACTATTGACGGTATGGTGTTGAATTCCTTCAAGTGAATGCCATCGCTTGGCCTTTTCTAGGGTAGGTGTTGTAGTTAGAGAAGCCTGACGTTGCAACAGTGGGGCCTGGACGTCTTCTTCGATAGTCATGCCACCATTACAATTGTTGTTAAGATGTTTATAGGGTAACATTGAAACACCCGTATTCCCCGAACTGAGGCCAGCAATGGAGAAGCCACCGCCGCTCCGTCGTCTATTAAGCACAGATGATCCAGCGGGAACGATTGAGACTGAATTTCTTTTGTTCAGGTCACCATTATCACGTGACAGCAATAGCCCAATATCGTCTTCGAATTCCTCTGACATTTGCGTAGAGTTTGGTTCAGTGAGTGGTGCTTTACATCTTCGCTCCCCATCTGAGTTCGAATCTTGCGCTTGGGACGACGCCGTGCCTGTAGTCCCATTTGGATTATCGCTTATAAGTGATACACCTGCATCCAAAGACCTGGAATTATTTTTGCTAAGCTTGGATGGTGGCAGTATCTTTGGTTCATGCCGTTTTCGCAGCTGGAAGGGGATGGGATCAAGAGATCGGGCTTCTCGCAGATTATGATGAGCAACCACAGAAGTGCCGCTTATATATCCACTACCATAGTAATCCTGAGACGAGTTTGGATAGTTGACAATTCTATGTGGGCGCACCATCGCCAGAGGTTTTTGTGAAAGACTAGCAATAAGGCGTGAAGTGCAAAATGAAGAACTGATGTCGCCATTGACGCCCACGCCACTATTATCACAGTTTGTTTCGGAATGCTCCAGAGTGCTGTGCGATATTCGCGGAGACTCCGGCAAGATATCTGAGAAACCAACGCCATAGCTAGCGCCGCTCCCGCAGAAGCCCATGTGCTCAGGTATGCTATTGTCTTGAAAACTACCCACCCCGTTTGCCGATGGACGATCGTTGCGCTTTGAAGGCAAACGGGGCGAATCACGTAGCACTTGATGCGTGGAACCCTGTAGGCTATAATTAGATTCCATATCAGCTCGTGGAACACTGTTGGATTGTCGCCTCGAACCGCCCCCGGCGAAATGCATGCCGACAATACTAGGCTGTCTGGAATCAGAATTTAGTTTGGGACTTTTTCGCGGACGGCAAAACAACGGCGGCGGTAAATCGGTCATGTCCACTGGTTTCTTTTGTATGGCCTTCTCTGTGGCGCCCACGAGCCAGTAAGTGACGACCTCACCCTTGCCCTTCATATTGACTAGACCCCGTTTCTCGGTTATATAACCGTCCAGTTTATCTAAGGCTTCCTTACATTTGCTTGAGATGTGTATTCTTAATGCCTCGCCATTTGACTCCATCCGGGACTGCGGTGTTCACAGTGTCACCAAAGAGACAATAGCGTGGCATTGTGAGACCCACAACGCCTGCAACCACAGGCCCAGTATGCATTCCAATGCGCAACTTGAGCGTTTCGTTGGGTCGGTGGGCAATTCTGTGCTGTTTTACCGCTTGAAGTAGCTCCAAGGACATTGAAGCTATTTCGCCTGCATGTCTATCGCCATTCTTTATCGGCAAGCCGGACACTACCATATATGCATCCCCAATTGTCTCAACCTTGTAGACATCGTAACCCCTGATGATGCGGTCGAACACGGTGTATAAATCGTTAAGGAAATTCACAACTTGTAGCGGTGTACTCTCTGCTGACATGGCAGTAAAACCGACAATGTCGCTGAAGTATATGGTGACCTGTCGAATGATCGAAATTAGAATGATCCATGCCAAAACACACTACGCGATATTGAATACAAACCAAATCATAGGAAACTGGTTCCACACCCAATCCCATTGTGAGTTTTTCAGCCACAGACTGCGGCAACATACGATGCAGTAGATCTTCTGTCTTCCTCTTCTCTTCACACAACAGACGAGTGCGTTCCGTGACAATGTCTTCCAAATTGTTGGCGTACTTCTCCATCATCTCCATCATTTGATCCATAATGTTTTTCGTTTTGCCACCCCTCATTTTCTTAAGACGTGTTCTGTAAAGAAAATTGATTAAATATAAGCGGTCTTTCCTATAATTAGGTGGGCTAGCCACAGCATACCTTATGGTGGGAAAGTCGGGCCTAACCTCTGGATCTTCATGCCAACAGTCTGTTATACAGCTTAGGACGTAGTCGGGACATAACTCTCCCTCAATAATGCACTCAAGCTCCGGCCGAAATGGCAAGTGTCCCCGTCGTGGGCTCCTTCTTTACCAAATCTACAATTTCCTTAGGCTCGTACAGAGTTTGTCCAAATGGTCCCTTTCTACTGAATATTTCATACATAATAATCGCAAAGGCATAAACATCTCCCTTCTGGGAGCCATAAACATGCGGGTTTCTCAAAAGCTCTGGTGCCTTCCAGAACTGATCTGAAATTACAAAAAAAAAGCACAAAAAATAGAAATAAGTAAACCACAAAAACGTTTTTGATTTTAAAGCTCACTTCTGTAGTGTTGATGCTCTCCTATTGATTCGCTTTCGGCGCAATGCCTCAGATCGTGCAATCCAAAATCTGTGACCTGCAACATCCACCTCGATGTAACCACGCAATTAGATGATTTAAGGTTTCCATGGAAAACTAATGATGAGTTGTGTATATAAATCATTCCCTGCGAAGGCAAAAAATATGGTAACTACTTCGCCGATAAGTCCTTCCCCAGATGGCACATACCTTTATGAGATCGTGAATCAAGGACGCTATGAACAAATCGTCCAGTTTAATGTCCTCATTTTCAATGATATCGTATAAGCTTCCCTTTGCACAGTAGTCCGTGACTAGAAGGATTCTCATTGGCTCCACACAGGCGCCAATAAAACTATTCACATTGTCATGACGGAGTTCGCGCAACAGACGCATTTCCTTCATGATTTCCCGTGACATGTCCTTTTTTCTCAAGAATTTCAATTCCTTTATGCGGACCACAGCTCCACGTAGTCGGGCTGTCGATGTAAATACTTGGTTCGAGCACCGCGACCCAAATGACTGTGCACTCACCAGGCTTAACTGTACCAACAAATACCAAGCGAATACATATTACGCACATGATCCAACAATCATTCCAACTACGTACCTTACTTGGAGACGAGACCATGTCATTTACGGCATAACCTTTTATTTCCGATATATCAATTTTCCACAGTAAACCTTCGATTTCCAATTCAATCTTCCATTTCCGGTATATACTCATGGTTACTACGCCGGCACAGAAAAGTAGCAGGCCCAGAATACCGGCTGCCACTAAGGAAGTTATATGCCGATCATCCTTTTTACACAGCTCATTGGCAAATCCACACATGGGCTCGTCAAACGGCCGGTCTCCGCCTGAAGGCCAGTCCACACGCATAGACCCATTGATAAGTTTGTATTCCTAGAAATTACCAATCACACAACAGAGTTCAATTTAAAATCACTGTAGCAGGACAATTTGCAAATTGATTTTAACGTGAAAAACATAGATAAAAAGTGACGACTCACTCACTGGAATATCAGTTCCTTGTTGGAAATGTGCAACTGGTACCATGTGGAAATTACATTGTAAGTTTTCCCGGTATGAATACTTAAACGGTTTGTAAGCCAACACCGAGAAGTTACCTTCGGAATCCCCATTGTTGTCGATTTTGATGGTGGCTCCCGTAACACCTTCCAAACAAAGAAAAAAAGCGACAAATCACACCATTAGTCTGACATTCAAATCTTTAGAGAACAACTTACTTTTGTAGGTGCCATTTTTAATTATGGTCTCAATGATTTTCGTTCCATCGCTGGCTATATTGTATATCTCCTCAGAGGTCAAGGGGCGGTCTCCAGTTGAATTACGCAGTAATTCATCCAAAGCCCAGGCATACAACTTGGCAGAGTCATAGAGGTAAGCGGCATATATAGAAACAAACTTTTACCGCATCCCCGAGAAAGAGAAATTGAAGACGTCACCACGACCATCGCAAAGGAAAACATGCAAATAGAAACAATGAATTTAGGATACACCAGCTGACTCTGAACAAACAATGCGAAGCAATATTGAGTGGAAAATAAACAAAGAGTGCACACCCAACAACCATTAAATACTATGTACTCGTTGTCCTTGTCGAACTCCACACCCGCCAATGTCTTCGCCTCTCCCTACAACAAAACCAACAGCTCCACAATTATTTATGTCTTCACAAAAACAATTAGAGCATTCCATGGTCTTGTAAATCATAGATTCTCTTGTGTCTGTTATCTACGGCGGCGTTGGATGGGCGCATAGGACATGGGCAAGACTGTATTGCAACGCACGGAGTTGTGTTCTTACGAAGCCAAATAGTTTACCTACCTTGATGAAATTATTGCTGTGAAATAATTGTGGCAAGGTGAAGTTGAACGGCTGCTTCAGATTGTACTCCCTAACTTTGGCAGTAAAGTTCTCGTAGCTGTCCGTGGGTGGGGTGGAAGCAACCACCAGCAAACTTCTGGCGCGCTGAATGAAAGCATCCGTTTCACCACAACTCGTCATGTGCTCTACTTGCTCTGGCTTTCGCAAATACTTTTCGGCTTCTCTAAGGTGAAGTGATGTTGTTTAAATAAATAATAGATCGAAATGTCTATGGGTGCACAATGCACGGGCGGGTGTACTTACTTCGGTGTGTAAGTCATCATGTCCACAAATATGACCATATACTCGCCTTTGGAGAAAAGATTCGCCGTGTCCATAGAAGCCATGAACTCCACCAGAGCATTGGCCGTCCCAAGAAAGACGTAGATGCGCGTCCGATTCATAGTGTTTTGAACAATCTGGAATTCGATAAGTTTCGTTTAAGGATCGCTTCCAACTACATGTTTTTGAGCTAGTTTTACCAATAAGTCCATACCTGATACCAAAAGCCCGTACGACAACATGCCAGCATCTCTTCACAGCATTTGGCCATGTTGTCTATGAATGATTCCTTGTGATTGATGGTCATGTTCTTTTTAATGGCCTCCACTTTAAGCAGTTCCGCGACCATAGTCCAACTTTCGTCATGCAGAATGGAGAACTTTTTCCAGCCGTAGTAACGCAACAGAGAAATGACAGATTTGATTACCTACGAGTGAGGATAGAAAACGATTATTCCGTTTGCGGACCCAATGCTCTTTAGGTTTTTGGACCTACCTGTGTATCAGGAGGTTCGGTTCGGGCAAAAGTTGGTATTGATGATGCTTTGTTTTCTGGACATTTCTGAAAGGCAATTCCTTATTAGATGAGCCCACCTACAGATCTAAACAAGTCTCTAGTTGAATACTCACATATGATATCATTGGAATGTTACGACTTTGAGTGACTATCGCCTCGACATAACAATGACCTTCGGGTCCGAATATCATTGCAATGCCATCACAGATCATTTCTGTTATCGCTTTGGTGGCTAGGACTGTATCACCTTTGGTGTCATTCCAGCGTAGTGTCAGCTGAACATTGGGCAATAGACTAGTGTCATTATTGATCTAATCGGGACATTGCAAGCGATCACATGAGAATATTTAGTAAATTACAAATGAGCACGTGCGGGGGATAAAAACTCACCTCTTCCAAGGCCATTGTCAAGGCCCCGGATATAGCCAAGCCCTGCTTATCCTTCAGCTCACCTGTCAATGCCGTCAGGTAACCGACATTGATAACAGTCCGCTCCCCAGTACTGCGCACACATCTCACACTCGGAATCAGAACTACTGCCACCGAGAGCAAATGCAAGATGATAAAGGGCCACCGCTTCATGGCCCCTTTGGCCGGGGCCGATCAGCGCGACACCTATAGGTAGCAATGGTTTTCACTACAAATAACGAGAAAGGAATAAAATGTGTGTGGTCCACATAAGTAGCTGTTCTGTATTCCTTGCAATATTCTTAAGTACTTCACGGCCTACACGTTCAAGCAAAAAATCGGTGTTGTAGATAAATTAAAAAATATAATTTATTACTCATTACAGATTATTTTTATATCGGAATAGCAAGGGTTAGGATGAATTTTGTGCAAATCAATGATCCAGTGTCGGCGATATAAGATTGCGGGCGTCGAGACCGGTCGTGAGGAATGATATCTCAAACAGGGATGGCCGGCTGTGGTAAATATCGGCCAGCATTGTGACAAACCATCGCGCTAATCTATCGAAGTTTTCCATAGCACAAATTGCCACAACGGCTCCTGCACGTCGACCATGCTGATGAGAGTCGAAAAACGACACTGTATTACTGGGGAAATCAAAAACAAATATCGTTGTCCGACTGTCCGCTATTAGGGCGGCAAACAGGTTTTTGGCGCTGCTATTGCTGCTTGGTCTCTTAAACAGTTGCATTCCTAGCCGCAAGACCTGAGCAATGCGAGAGGACACCGATTCGGCGTAGGTTTCCTTCGTGGGATTGGCAGTGAGATGCGTGTAAAACCACTCTTTCAAATCGAATTCTATTTCGACTTGAGCGTTTAGTGCATCAATGGCCTCGGGTATATTAAGATTCGGAGCTCTTCTTTTGCCACTGCTGTCGAGCATAACGTCGGCTTGGTCAAACAACTGCCAATAGACTTTATTACCTTCGTTCATAGCATCACCAAATATTTGAACCCCTTTTGCAGGTAATATTGCCGAGTCATTGGGACGGAACACAATTTCTTTGGAGATTTTATTGGCCAGTATCAGCGTTATTAGGGTACACGAATTTGTACCGCTTGTTCGATATTCTCCATACCTCGACTGACAAAATTCCTTTGGAAACCACCAAATATTAACGTTGTCGTATTCCTCAAAGACCGCCATGACTCGGTCAGACGCGATATGTATTCATTTATACGTTCCTATTGATCACTGATTGCATTGCAGAATAGACTAGTCGCATGCCCGAATTCCCTGTTACATATTTGAAGAATTTTTATGCACAACAATAATATATTTAAGGAAAAGATTTCTCTACACTAAGTCCTCTCTAAACGTCGGAGTTGATTTGATAAATTCGACATTCGAAGCTAAGCTACTTTGATGTTGACATAAAAAGTAGTGAAAATTAGTTCTCCTATACAACTGTATGACAGATCTTTGAACAATAAATGTCATTTAAATTCAAAGAGGAGAAGAAAATGTGTAACTTTTCAATAAAGGAGTCACACTTTATATACCCTCTGTCATTCCGTTCGTAACTCCTCGAAATAATCGTGACAGACCCTACAAAGTAGGGATCAGCGTACAATTCTAAGTCGATTAAGCGATACCCGCCTGCATGTCTGCTGTAATCAGGCTATCTTCTACTAGATATAATACATTTATTAGTTTTGCCTTGTTAACATTTATGTTTTTAATTTTTGGTCTAATTTTGTAAATTGATCCTTAATAAACAATTTTAATAACACCTTCTTGTTCTCTGAACACCTTTCCTTTTTGTAAACCCAACAGTTATTTTTATTACAGAATTAGTTCGATATTAGAGCCAATTGTACTCAGGATAAAAGTAAACAAAGTTATAAAACTTATTTCCACCTGACGACTCGATACCTTTAGATTCATTTTGGCTCGTAATTTCCGAACACGTGATCTATTTTCATAATATTTGCCGGGATTGACTAGCTTTCTATGGCTTGAATGTTTATTCAAACGTACATACAGACATCTATGACAATATGGGACAGAATAAAACAAACAACTTGTTCGTCGTGGTATTTGTTTGGTATATTTGCATGTTTTTGATTCTGTTTTAAATTACAAAAACATCGATAGAAGAAACGACTTCGTCGCAAGGTGAGAAAAATATATCCAAGAATTTGGTATAAAAAATGCGACAGAGAAGAGCAACAACGCTCTCGCAGCGGTTGGAAGCACATTGTAGAAGAATCAGCTGGCTGTGACGATTTGCGCTTTGTCCACGGAAACACCACAACCAAAGAAACACACATTCATACAACGATTTTTAGCTGATCTTTAAATCGAAAACATTTGGGATTGCAAGCGTTTTCTTACTGAATCACGTATATTAAGGGTCAATGGGTTGATTAACTCCAAATTTCCCTGTCAAAAATACTAATTATGTGGTGGCCAATCCACATGCAACTGAATTACCCCTTACAAAACCTGTTTTCTAAATTCTTATTTTATTTTCTTTATGACATTAATTACTTTTTTGTTTAAATAAGTTTTAGTGTGCTCGCTTAGAACGCTGAAAAATAAACACTTTTGCCGCCAAATTCAAACATTTTGAACACTTTATTATTTAAACCGCAACTAACAACTAAACGCAACTAAAGATGATCTTGACTTTGTTATTCCGTTTGTTACTCTTCGAAACTAATTTTAGACCTCACAGGCATACAAACACACATTCTTCAAATTCCTTCTAAACTGAATAATCAGTTTTACCCAGTTTGTTGACCAACATTTTGGAATAATGGCAAACAGCTGTTGAATGAGAAGTAGATGTCGATTTTTGCATATCCCAAAAATAACTAGTTATCAACAGGGCTCTGTTACTTTTTAACCTAATGGGCCACAGCTTTGAGGCCTATTAAAAGCTTTCCGTATCAGCAGTCACTCGTACAAGTGTACACATTTTTTCCATCCCCAGTGAATGTCGGTACTCTTTTGTTACGATTGGCGCTCTCTTCATTGATTCATTCTTCTCTTCTCCCACTCATACCCACCCATGTCATTCTTCTAAAGAGCATGGTTATCATTACGAATTGAAAACATTGTACATACGTGACGACCGTCGACCCACACTCGCTCACAACGAATGAGTTACGAGTAACTACGACTATTGCAGAAAATAGCTAAAAATAAATGTGGACGGTAATAAAACAATAATAAGTAATAAACAAAAGAATATTTTGCGACGTGATAAAACGCTGAATGCGACAACAACGACGACTTTTCAATTTTATTTCCCCCACCGCCAAGCCATTGGCTACGACGCTCTGTTCTCGGTCAATGGTAGTAAACACTTTTGAGAATTGTGACAAAACAAAGTCGATCCATTCCAACTGAACTTGTCATCCAAATATCAGATCAGAAAGTCGTTGTAATTCGTGCGTACATTCGGTGAATATGTGAAACGAATGCTTGCTGGCCTGGAGCATCGGATAAAACCAACTATCCGCGTCCAAACATACAAAACACATACCTAGCTAGCTACCTATATGCAAATCGATTGATTACAAACATGGACGGACACATTTTACGCAGTGTTAGATTTCGAATGTACCCAGCTATGTATGCGAAAAGGAGGCAGTGTTGAGCTCTCGACTCGATACGTCATGTACATACCAATGTGTATGTATCGAATACGGAATATGCAAACACATGTACCTACATATGTATGTATGCATGTGTGTGCATAAACGCCCCACCAAGTAAAATTGGCTGTCTTGAGTTTCTTGTTTTGCTAAAAACAAAAATAAAAAACCAGATATGAAATAAAAATAAACTTTGCGTCTAAAAATAGCACCAAGCAATAATCGGAGAACGATCGTTGTAAAGCCGTCTTTCTGCTTCTGCTTCTGCTCTAAAATAAAAATAACGACAGACAATAACAAACTACAAACATCAGCCTTAGCTGCATCCACAATGTCTGAGCACTATTATCACAATACAAGTCATAAACACACTCACACAGGCAAATGCTGAGTGAATCTCACCCGATCCTACTCAAATTATGTGAGACGATAACTATCAATAAAAATACCCTGGATAAAAACCGAACCGATTTCATGTTCGGAGAGGTGAACCTTTTCAAAATCTATGCGCATGGGAATTGTTTGTTTCCAAATAAACTTCCGATCTGCATCCACATACAACAGGACCACAGAAACAGAATCAATGGTTCTAAACTTAGGTTCACTTATATAGTATACAGTCAGGGACAAAAGTTCACCTTCACCCTGTAAATTTAAAGTGAAGTATACATTTTTATGAGACTCCATATACGGACGTAGAACATGCACATTTCATTCCATAAACAGGCCAAATTAGTCGCAAACAAAAATACCGTAGCTCTGACAGCTTGTGGATACATATAGAGAAAATATAACTAGCGTTTTAGTACTTTTTTTACTTATATTCAATTAAAACAGTTACCTAGCCCATAGGGCCATGGACGGTTCCAAAAACTTCTATACATACTTTTTAGTACAAATTTAAAAAAATGTTACACACTTCCCCACCATACCAAATTTCAAAATTTGAATTTCAGCCGCTAACTCATACATTTGTAGAATGAATTTTCGAAAACCAGCTTTATTTCGCCCTATGAGGCAGTACAAGGCGAAAATCTGTATAAATCGGTGAATAGAAATGATAGCGAGAGGAGACCGTACCTAATTTACACTACACCGAATTCTAGCTTGATTTCAGAGATCTAGCTTTTTTCATGTCACACCCTGCGCCCCGCATTTGCAAACGTTAACGGTTATTTAGTAGCTCGTTTGCAGGATTTAAAATACGACTAAAGGATGTCTTGTATTTTTTCTGTGGACATTCTGAACATTCTTCCAACATTTCAATTCAATATTAATGTTTTATTCCTGATTTAAAAAGAAAGAATTGCCTTTCACGACTTTGTTTTCAATGCTGCTGCTCGATGGTCCGCCATAGTCATAGCCATGAAATGTTGAATTATATAACTCCTGCAAAAGTTTGCAAAGAAGAGAAGAACTCATTACAAGTTAAAAATTCTCAAGTGCATTAAGTGCGGAGATGCGTACAGACAAGTCCATGGAAACAGGTCGTCGCCATATCATCATATTCTGGTCACAACTTATTTCCACGTTTGTAACAAACTGCCAGCCATGAAAGTCATATAATTTCACTTTCATTTCGACAATTTGTCGCAACATCATCAGGCGAGCTGTTGAAACAGTTATCCAGTTTGTCCATATACGACAGGACGGCATAGATGAAACTTTTTATAAATGGAAAGGAAATTTTTTTGCTGTCGATGAGTAGTCGACAGGCGGGTGGAGCCATCTCCTCAATATCACAAATTCCATTAAAAATGCTTCACCAAAATTGTCACCGTCTTGGGAGCAGACGGAAGATGCCTGAACCAGATCTGAAAACTGCAACAGACATTGTAACAACTGGAATACTCTGCGATTAGGCCGTCAGTTGGAGAGTGTCGTAGCTCTATATTCACGCAACAAACAACGTACCTACCTTGTTGTGGTAGGTTGTCAGGCTCAATGGCTATTGATTGGATGTTGTGCCGATGTTCTACACATATAGCAAAAGCCTGCCTGACGCAGCAGCAGTGGGGTCTTTAAGCACTAAGGCAACAAGTTTCTGTGGCGCTGTGGCTGGTGTCAACGCAAACTGCACTTGTGCTTGTGTGCAATGCGTTTGCCAAAGTGTGGCGCACACCGTGGTCGTCCCATTCAACTGAGCAGGTATTTCCCCACGGTCTATTTTTAGACAATCCAGTTTTTGGCAGCAAAGCTGAACTTAGTTGTTCGAACACCTTAATTTCTGAAATGCAAACAGGCCATACCATACCAGACAAAAAAAAAAAAAACAAATTTGGACTGGCTATCTGTCTGTCTGTTCTCTTTTAGTGTAAATTATCTTCAAACTTATTCTTGAACTAGCTGAACCTCGAAAGCATAGAGGAGAAGATTTCTTTGATTTTGTCCCATACAAAAATATCCGTAAGCCAAATTAGTTATTAACATTTATGTATTCATTTGGTGCATTATGTATTTCTTTGAGAGGTTGTTTGCTAGCCATCTGTGCGATTATTCAAACATCGCCAACAAACGATAAAGTTTGAAAACACAGAAACGCGAAGAGAACCGACACAATTTAAACATTTTCATTGTTTCTCATATTGCCTTCTCCTCCGCTCTGGTGGGGCACCATGTGTTGGTTGTGCTTGTGATTGTTTGGATGGATGTGCCGCAATAATATAGGAAGACGTTTTGTGTTTTTTTAAATACAAGCACAGACCCAGCGTGTGTTTAGATGAGGATCGTCTGTTTGTTGTTTTGTATGTTTCCAACTCACTCTCACTGGGTCTCTCTCTCTCTCCCTCTCATACAATTCAAGGCCACTTTAAAATTTACTCTGCTAAAAATAGATCTATTTTGTGCCGTGACACCGTGCTATGGAAGAACAATGCGATAAAGCTTTTTAGAGTATTTTATTAGGGCGCCCACCAACACCCAACAATCCGATCGCTGACAATCTTTGGAGCCGACTAAGCAGCCACCAAAAAAACATCACAAAAACAAATAATGAAGAAAAGCTACTGTAATTTTCATTCTACTTTAGTTAATCCAAATGAAAAATTGGAATACAGATGAATATATGTGGATTGAGGCAGGTCCGAACTTGTCACGTTGGAGTAGTTCACTCGTCATGTAAAACATATTATTTTAACAAAGCTAATGCTTTAAGCAGAGATGTTCTGTTTATATATATATATATATGTATATAGTCCTCCACGTAAAATGAAGTTAGGCAATGTAACAAAATGATTCAACTACTGATCAATGAAATAATGGCCGAAACAGAGGCCGTGGGGTATTATTTACTTCAGGTGTTAAAAAAATTAAATGGTATAGCTATTACATAATTTTTTATACACCGGACTTGGAAATCGAACAAACACTTGCCCAACGGCCCTCGTACTTTTTATCTTTGTCAAAAGTCAATTTTAAAGTCATTAAATATAGTAGCCAATTAATCGGCATTTGCATATTCAACACCCCAACGCTCACCTAATTCAGTAGCTGAAATTAAAGCTCATCAATTATAGCCGGAACAACACAGCAGCAAAAGAGAAGCAAATCATGTGTGTTTTATTGTTTTGAACGCGATTTGCTTGCTCATCGATCAATATTAGATCTACACGCACATTAATTTGCCGATTGCAAATGAAGCTTTGAGCAAAACAAAAAAGTTGTTTATGCCAAAAACGAAAACAAAACAAATTATGTACGTATATTAAAATATTCAGACGCCAGTAGCAGACAAGCACATTTAAGCTCTTGTTTATGCTAATAAATCCTACGTTTCAAAATAAATAAATAATGTTGAGTCTTTAGAAGTAATAAACATTATGTTTAACAATATTCTAAACAATTAAAAATATTACAGAAAAAAGTCTGATATCGGAAAACGAAACTGAGCCTTAAAGCTCAAAAAGTCTGAATTGTCGTATGGAACACCTAAGCATGACACCGACAAATGTTACACTTACATGATGAAGGAGTTATTGCGATGATTACAGTTTATTTGACGATTGAGAAATGTTTGCAAGCGAACGAAATCCTTCCATAACTGAAATGAAAAACAAAAGGAAAGGTTTGGTCAATGTAAATAAATAAAGGCGTGATGCAAAAATAAAAGCACAAGGACAGAAACTAATAGGATAGGATAATAGTGAATAAACAGTGGTTTGGACGTGGATGGTCGTATAATGTTGAAAGATACAGAAGCTATAGCAAACATCACCATTCGTTTCAATAGCAAATAAGTTATATGATAAGGAATTGAGAGGATATATTTGCAATTGATGATTTTGTGTTTTTTGCACACATTTAATTGACAAACTGTAGGTATTTAATTTTTCAAAGACATGGATGCATATTTTCTACTGACAGCCCAGTCGTGTCCAATTTCAATTAAATAAAAATAACATTTTATCTGAGTTTCTGTTAATGCCAATTATGCAAAGGTTGAAGAAACAAAAAAGGAATGTATTTATGCGAAAACTCACAATTAAAAATGAAGAGTGGCTTCGTCGGAACTCGGAAACAATGATATCCATGCAATGCAAACATTTTATGCAAAAGGAATAAATCAAAGGAATGGAATGGCATTAATTATGGCATTGCAAACAAAAGCAAATTCGACATTAAGACATACTGCTGCAAGGAATATGTATGACCTAAAACAACGTGTAATTGTGCACGAACAATATAATTGTTCGCGGTACAAGCATCTGCCGAAAAATGTGTATTCTTTTAAATATGTGTGTTTGAAAAAGAGCTAGTGCAGTACTATTCGCTTTTTGTGACTACAAACATGTATTATATATTGTCTTAGATATAATTGACGTTAAAGGCGTTAACTCGCTTTAGCAGAACCAACTAGCGAGAGAAGATTTTATAGTTTGTAGCACCATGAGACTTTGGGAAATCCTATATCACCGATGTTACAAATGTTGTGCAGAAGTCCGATATCCCTCAAAACGATTAGTTATGCGTAGACGAGCAATTCAACTACATATTTTTACGATTATAGTTATGTGTTCGGGATAAACAACACCCATGTCATGAAGTCCAACTAGAAATCCTCTCTTTTATACCCAAGAAGATGTTGCGATTCTGGTTCGCTTTTCTTTGTGACACATACCATGCGTAAGACTGACTTAATGTCCTAGACTAGAGATACATGCCATATTAACAGTTGACTTTGTAAAAAAGGAATTTGAATATATTTGTATTTCTCAATGACCGATTCAGAATCATGCCCCCCGAATAAGATTAAATGTATCACCCATGTGCTAATCGACGGTTCGAGAATCAATCGAATGTACAATGACAAAATGTTATCAACTAATTCACATGGACCCACTAATAAATCATTGTGTTCTATAAATAGCTTCCGCTACTCATGCCTTTTGTACAGATTTCCACATTGCCTGACGTATAGGAGTTAGTTCAATATTTTGTCAAAGGGTTTAAATTTTGGCACTGACATTGCCACTCGCAAGACACTTGAAAAGCAGAGTGCAGTAGGGCATGTCTTTAGGGAAGCCGCAATCCATGTTTCTGCTTTAACTATTGTTTGAAATGCCGCAATAAACTAAAATTAAATAGAGTGTGCAAACAAGTCCACATTACCATAAATTCCCGTGGCAATTATTGCGAAAGCTAAACCATAGAAATTGGTATGCAAACAGTTGTAAAAGAAAAATGAGTAAAGGAACACAGACGTTAGGACGAAACTTTGTTAAACGTAACTTATTCCCAGTTATGGCAGCTATATTGAAATGGGAATGTGACATTTGCAATGGGATGAAAACTAGCTACGCAATTAACAGCGTAATGGTCGGTCACACACACCCACCCCACCACATCGATGGCTGTTGTGGACGCCTTTCTTAATGGCCAGAAACTTTTGCTATTTATTTACCAACAACAGCGTGTGTACAAAGAAAAGAGACAAGCCCAGAAAAGTGAATCCTTTGAAGTAATAACCAGAACACAAAAAGTTGAGAACTACAATTTGTTGAATTTACGTTCCGGTCCTTATTTGCAATAAAAAAAATCACTGATGACCCCACATATAAATCAAGCAAATTAACCAGACGCCGAGTTCAAACATATATTGAGGTGTCAACCGCTGGTCGGAACCGTTGCAGCTGAAGAACGTAGGTTATGTGGACAAACCAAAGTATTTTTGGCCCCAATTTGTACTAGACGCGAGTTAATAATTAGTTGGGGAACGTGTATCCAGCTTGACGTGAAGGTCTGCATACTATAATGTATCTTCTATCTGTATCTTCTATAATGTATCTTGTATCTGCCCAGCTAACATAATAATCCGGGAGATCTCTGGTTACAGTCTGTCAAAGTAATTGATTTTTTATATCGCAAAATTAAAGCAGAACCCGATTAGCGGATCTTCAAAACCAAATACACATAACTTCTACAATAACAAAGGTGCGTGAACTCATAGGAACGAAAATCATTCAATGTGACTACAGGTGGGCTGGCGTCAGCTTCAACGTTGCATTTATGATCAATGAAGAAGTACTTAAGTTCAACCACTGACGGTAAACTTGTCACAGCTTTATTCCTTTCATAATGATACGTTCGATGATATCGAGCGTGAAAACATATGTATATCTCTATACCAAACATAATGTGGCGTTTTCACTGCACTTGATTCGTTCTCTATTCGTTGTTTGCCCCTTAACTATGAAAAAACTCCTTAAATTTCCTGAGCGAACACTCATATTTGTACATTTTTCAAATCAAATCACTCTCAGAACAACGAATAAATATGATCCATCTCTAACACATGAGAGTATTTATCGAAAAAATAAATTATGACATTTAAAAATTAAAACTAGATAAATTTAATGAAATTTTAAAAATTTTTGGACTGAAATTTATGAATGAAAACTACAATGTTGAATGGCGTATGTACATTCAAACGAAAGTACACTTTAATCATAAAACATATGATCTTCGCCTTAACAAGGCAAAACTCAAAAATTCATCCGAGCCTGGCTGTGGGATTTGAACCGCGGACCTCTGTGTGCAGCCAACTAGAAGTTGCCGTCTCTACGTTCAGAGCCATTAACCCGTCTTCCTAAAGCAGCACTAAAACAAGTGTATGCTTTGGAAGCAATGTAGTTGTTGTGGACAAAAATCCATCACTACAAAAACAAAACGTTGCTGTGAAAAAGATCTGCCAATAGAACTTGAGTCGAACCTGGAGAGTTTCTAGTGTATAATTCGCATATGCTAATTTGCAATAAGTTCGAAATATATACTACTTTCCAGAGAACGGCCCTTGTAAGCCATCATCCACATCAAATATGCCTGATGAGCCGCTTAACCAACGGCGAAACGCGTCGCATAGTGGTGAGTGTGTGATAGTGTCTATCTGGCTTTCCTTTTCACTGCAAATTTCAGATCATTAAGCTCGTCTCGAAAGAGAAAACAAACACTTTAATCATAAAACATATGATCTTCGCCTTAACAAGGCAAAACTCGAAAGTACATTTTGTTTTCTCTCTCATTCGAGGTCAAAAAGTTGAAAACGTGAATAAAAATTGTAAAATTAATGATATCATTATTCTTTGGAAGAAAAACAATAATTTCTTCTATTCAATGCTGTGTTCCAGAACCTGCAAGAATCTACTATCTTTGCAATTTTTTTCGATATCATAAAGGGAACATCGGTTATCGTAGGAAAAAGTTTTACATTCTAGCAGTTCTGGAACAGATGAAAATTTCATGTATTGTTGTATAAATTCCCATTAAATCAACAAACAAAATTGTTTTTACTATGAATTACGAATCGTGCCGTATGAACGTGTTAATTCGTGTACGTAATTCTGAGAGCGAACAACGTAATTGAAAGTGTAATGGGAACATAGCATAAGAGAAGGCGGGTCTCCATGTCATATGTTGACAATAATAGAAATAGAAATCACCTTTGTAATTTAAAATCGCCCATATATTTCATGGAAAACACTGTCTCTGTCCCTCCCTCCCCCCTCTCTCTCTCACTTTCCTATCATATTCTCAATTCGCACTACAGGTGACGCTAAACGAATCGCTCTAAATACGTTCTTATCGCATGGGGACTCAAATACACTTTTTGCGATAAAGAAAAGTCAATCTGGAAACAAATAGTGACGCGCCACAAGCAACAATACATCAAATATCACACTGATGCGTGGGATATTCGTATGCAGCTGCGGAAAAAAATATAGCACCACGCCCCACGAAAGCGCCTTAAAAAACGATGATGTTCATAAGTTGCAAGTTTAGCAAATGCGGTTCATATGCGAACGTACATCGGAGAGCAATTCTGTTTTCGCTTGACAGCCAGCCAGCGACAACTTGATTTTGTCTTTTACACCCATATAATTTTTAACCAGCAACACACCCTTTTCCTTCTCTCCTACCCTGAATCTGTTCGACTATACTAAGCACACTCGTATAATTTTTCCCATTCATTCAGGTCGTTCTGTTTCAGCTCATCAGCAGATAAGAAACCACCAATGTGCTTTCATACCCAGCCACCACTATTGGGAACGTTGGTATTGTGAATTTGCGAGCATTTGATAAATGAATTGTGGTCATAAAGATAACAACGACCAAGACTTGTTTCCCCCTCCTGACAATCTGATAAGAATTCGGATACTGGATATTGTCTAAAAATAAATTAATATATGTTAGGTCTCAGTTGTGTGTTGTGATGACCTTGCTATTGGAATTTAGCCCACGGGAACCATGGGAAGAGTACAGAAAACTAAATGTCCCACTCCGAACGAAGAAGTAATAAGCAAAGCATTGCCATGTTTCCAAGATTGGCAGCCACTGCAGCTCATTCATTTTGCTAAAAGTAGTAACATTGTCCGAAACGTGATAATCCTCGGAAGCTCACGTGTTGTCCTGGTATATCTACATAGAAGTGACAACAAAAACGTTGAATTTACAATTGCCAGAATAAATCCGATTTGTTTAAAATCTAAACTTCACGTTAATGTGTGTGTTTCTGTTCCATTTCCCACACGACAACCACAACATACC